GTAAATTTTTAAAATATATTTTAACACGGATGGAGCCATTTTATTTACACGCAAAGCATTCTGGGTAAATGATATCAACTAGGTCATCGTTGCGAGGCTCCTAGGGAGCTATATCCACCCTGAAGGTTAATCTTGGACAATATCTGATGATCGACTCTTTTAAATGAAACCAGAGAGCGTTGACAGAGAGGAGGAGGTAGAAATGACTCAGCCTGTAACTGAAAATATGGATGGAGGACAACAGAGCTGCTTCATGGAAGAACCTCAGTTTAGCCTTTACGCTAGCGCCCATGCTATATTGCCTTATACTGTATGTATTAGCTCGTCGCTAGCTCGACAAACGAGCTAAACTTAGGTCCTCCATCCATATTTTCAGTTCCAGACTGAGTTATTTTTGTGTTTCCCCTCTCGATACAAAGAGTTGGATGTTGCAGGGTTCGACAAATCCTATTGCCCGACTGCCCGGGCCAGGTAAAACCCATATTCGGACAGGTGGGTGTGTGTCCCGATGCCTGCCCGACCGGGCAGGTAAACCATTTCTTTATTTTTTTTATAGGGCCATTTGTTCGAAATATTCTGAAAATAAATGAAGAAATATAGCGTTTTAAAACACGTAAAAATCCTCAAAATTTCCCCCTCCGACTATAGAAAAGTTACATTGTGCATCGTATCGCGGGATCCTAATCTCTCCCTCCTTCCTGCTGCACATTGCGCAGAGCGAATCTTTAACAACCTTAGTTTTTCACACCCGTGCTTTCAGAGAAAAAATAACTTTTTTTATGTATAACCCACAGATGAAAAAATATGTGGACGTTCGTTCAGTCATCCATCTTGCTAATGTCGGCTTCTGCTCTGATGATGAAGACGAGAGCGCAGCAGCAGTGGGTCAATTCAGCAGGCAGAAGCTCATTGTATGGCAGGCCGATATAACATTTATTTGGCTGCACCACATTTATATTCTAGTTATCTGAAATTGTTTTATGACTAAATTAGACATATTAGTTATTTAGGATAAAATAATAAAATGTTTTCTTTTATTATTT